TTCAGCAAGGAGAGATGCAAAGTCCCACACCTGGGAGGGACTGACCTCATTCAGTGGATGACTGGCCCTTGGGTGCCTTCCAACCTGAATGATTCTATAAAATAAATAACATCTAAGCAAATAAATGTAATTGGCCCTTGTGGAGGGCGTTATGCTGCCTACAGAAACTACCACCAGAACATGGATCTTGCATGTTCATCTACTCAGAAATGTAGTGAGACAGTTACATTTGGTTTCTGAGTGTCATCTCACAAGTGGAGATCTGACTTGGTTGCTCTGTCTGACAGCTCCACAGAGATTTCAGTTGTGAGACTAGAGACTGGAAGAAGGAAGCTTAAAGACAAGATCTGGAAGTAGGATGAGAGAGAAGACAGTCAAGAACACTGTTGCATGTCTGAGCTGTGAGTGACTGATTTCAGGGGTTTGGCAGATACTGTTAATCATGAACAGTAGGTTGAAGTGGTTGCTGCCAGGGTGCTTCTAACACTGAGGCTAGATTTCCAGTTGTTAACCCTGAACACAATAGTAATGTGAATGTTTGCAAACGTTTTTCTGCCTTCTGTATTTCTATCTGGACTCCCACCTGTGGAATTTCCATGTATTTTGGGATTAAGTGCACATGCTCTGGATCTCTTTGCCTAGTGGTCAGTAAATTAAGCTACTGGCAAGCATTGCTGTTGCTTCTGAAAGGAAAATACCAGCAAATATATGTATTTCCAGCACTATTGCAGAAACCCTCTCTTGATCATACTATCATGGAGGCAAGGATAAGTGGTAAGATTGCTCTCCTTCTGGCCCCAGCATTTTTTTTTGCAGTGTCATTGTAATTAAATCAAGAATGATGGGATTTTATTGATTTATTAATTTTGGAGGAGCTCTTCTTACACAGTGTATTCTTGATGAATACAAAATGGAACATCTGGTAGACTTAGCACATAAAGGCAGTGCAATTACATTTTGGTAAGTGATCCAGCTTGCATGAATTTTCATAATGCATTAGTCACTGCTCTGTGAATTAAGGTGGAAAGAACTAATGGCTGTGGGCACAGAAACAATGAATGTAGACGTTGTATCTCATTCTGTGAATGACAGGGATATCGAAGAGAACTGCTTGATTGCATTCTCTGGCGACCTCCTGTGTGTAATTACTTTGTACAGTGAGTGGCTGTACTCTAGCTTCACGTTAAACATCCCAGAGGAGGGATTTAGCAGATGGAACTGCGGTGGAACGTTTTCCTTCTTTTCAGCTTAAGTCTTATTACAGGACCTACTGTTTCTTTAAAATATTTTACCAATTCCTTTCCTTCCTAAGGGGAGTTCTTTCTCTGACCATTTCTAAGCAAATTCTTCCTATCATGTGTTTCAGTCCAGCTTTTCTCCTGGTTATATTGGTACATCTTCACTGAATTTAATTCAACCACATTGGTGTAATTTAGAGCAGAAGATTGGTTTCTTTAATCTTTCTGCATAAGTAATCTATTTCCCCAATCAGTTTTTTCCCCTGCTTGGAATTTCTTCAAATTTGTCAACATCTTCAGGGTAAGGAGGTTCTCCCTGTTCCAATAGCACCTGAATTCTTTTTGAAGCACAGAACATGTTTCCGCAGGCATGTTATTAATTATGGATATTTCCCTAATTCCACTTCTCTGACTGTTGTCCAACAGTTCACATCTGCCTATCCACATCTGGTACAAATAAAAAAAAGTTTTGTGTTTTTCATATCAAACATGTCATAATGACCATTTTGCTTTTGTTCTTATTTTTAAATCAAAGTTTGTAAATCTTTTTTATATAATCTTTTAAGCTTTATAATATTGCACAGGATGAGGCAGCTTTTTTATGCTTTGCTTCGCTATATTTACTTTCTTGCTTCTGGACAACTAGTGATTAGAGGTCTGAGACCTTTGTATCATTTCCCTTATGAATATTTGCTCCATTTGGAGTTAGCAAACCCATAACTAGAATCAACAAAGTTATGCAAAACGTCTTCATAAGAGGTATGAGCTGCAATAGAAGCTCCTCGTGGGCTGCAGAGGCTCTGGGGCTGTGTTTTGTGCCTGTATCGCCTTCCACGGGAGGAGCTCAGGGCAAGTTCTTCTCTGGAAGCAATTGGAACATTAAGAAGCCTTCTAGAGTTAATAGTCAAATTACTTTTTAAAAGCTATAATTTTCCCTGTTCCTCCTTGCAGCCAACACACAAAAACATATGTGTGCACGTGGCTATTGACATCCCGGTTGTGGCCATCTCCTAATTGTGTTTGCACACACAGGTTTTGAGCTATTCCAGCCCTGGCTGGGCTTCCCAGGCCAGTATTCCTCCCTCAGACTGTGGTTTCTAACATAGGTAGGAACAGCCCTGGCTCCCTTTCCCCTCTTTAGTCACTAACTTGGTTGCTGCCAAAGCACACTACGGGAATAAATTTTGTTCTTTTCTTTTTGCATTAAGCATTTTGACTGGGGTGGGGGGGGGTAAGTTTCTGTAATGGCTCCTTTTTGCAGAGGAGAGAGGACAACACAGCCCGTCCGAATGACCCTGGCATACTCCCAGCTGTGCATTTGAAACAAAATGTTTTATTTGGGAATGTACAGTGAAATGAGAAGGATGTTTTCAAGGAAAAAAATGAATATGTTACGTATAATAAAGAATCCTAGAAAGATTTTTAGATACAAACACTGACTATAGCTCTGTCAGTGTAAAAAGAGGGGGGAGACCTGTTGATGTGACCTTAATTTTGCCCCATAAATGCCTCTGTAACGTGTCAGAGGCTTCGCTTTGCAGAAGCGAAGTATAATTCAGAAAGACACATTGAAGCCTGACTCCGTAAAGGCTTGGCTGGCCAAGGCTGTGCAGGACTGACCTCGCAGCAGCACTACTGAACCCGAGTAGCATCCAGAGGCATCTGGAAAACAAGCCCACAGTAGGTTATGAAACAGCTCCCACGGCTTCCATCCAAGTGCTCCTTTTGTTAATGGCATGAGAATCTTCGATAAGAATCAATCTAATATATCTGAACTAGCTCACTCTGAAACACTTCCAATCGTTGCTGGATTATAATATTATATCCAGTGTTGTACTTAGAATTGCTTGTTTTGTCAATGAGTGAAACAAAGACATGCTACAAATGCATATACACCCAGCTTCTGATGCTTAAAAAACTGGATGATGGGTTGATTAATTGACTGCATTAGAATCACCTTGCTTTGTTTTTTAAGCTCTACCAATCATTAGGGACTGATAATGAGACTTACACAGTGGGTTTTGTAAAGCCAAAATAGTCTATACACCCATGGCACAAGAATCCTTTTTGACTACTTTGCAAAGCACCCACAAATATGTTCAAGTGAGTTCATCCCTTGTTTAACTCGCTCTTGTAGTTCTTCTAAACTCCCACATTACATAAATACAGAACGTATTTAGGCAGTTGTAACGAGCCGTCACCAGCTACGCTGACTTTGACTGTGAGCAAGAAACCTGCTTTTTTCTATTTAAATCTGGCTCAAACTGCAGAGAGTGGCTTAGAACCAAACTGTGGTAACGCTCCAGTTCCTGGGAAGACACAGCTTTTAAGTTATGCACATCTACGTGACATTTATCGGGTTCCACCCGGACACTTTAAATGTGCTGTTAAAATCTCACAGTATTTTAAACTCTAGAAAAAAAAAACCCTTTTGACCTTTTCATCCATGTGACTTTTGTGGAATGCTGATGGTAAATGAAGAATACAGGCCAGGAGTCTTAATCTGCAGCCACAAATCCTAAAGGTAAAATTAATGGTTTAACAAAGCTGCTTAACTACATGAAAATGATTATATAAACACTCGTGAATGGGAACAAATTTGGTTGTGTAAATAAAACAGGGGCAACATAGAAACCCAGCCCACGAGTGCCAGTAACGCAAACCCAACGTGTTCAGGTACCGCTCTGCGTACCAGCCGTGCCCAGAGCACAGACACAGGAGCAGGAAATATTTCAGGCACTGTGTTTTGGGGAAGCTATTGACAAGCAAGAATTCAGGAGTAAAAAAATAGGACAGGAAAGAAAGTCTGTTCCAGCCCTAAATAACATTATACCTATAATAAGAAACACTTGCCTTAGCTGTTACTGAAGTTCCCAAGTGATGAAGAGTCTTTAATCTCCATGACTTATTTGTTACATACTTAGTTGCTCCTTAAATGGGAAGCTTTTCTTGATATCTAGTTTATATGCTGTAAATTAAGCCCATGATTTCTTACTCCCCCCGGAATGGATGTGGAAGAGAGGTGATCGGGATAGTTTTCCCACATTCTTCTACTGAATTTTTTTGTGCATATTTCCTTAATTTTCTTTTCTAATAGTTAGCCGGCTCGTGTTATCTTTTCTCATCTATTATGTATTCAAAGTGTATCTTCATATTTGTCAGTGATCTCTGGGCTTGCTCTGGTTGGTTCTCACCCCTCTCATCCACCCTTGTGTGTGGGCTGGGGTTTGCCAGGCAGATCAGTGAAGTATCAATCATTAGTAAAATGTAATTTAAGAGTTTGAAACAATAAGAAATAATTTGCTCACATCTAAAGCTGAAACATCCTCTTATTTACGATCTATTTAAGTAGATGTAGGTGTTGAATATGGATCTTATCAGTGATCAGCATTTCACATTAATTTACTTCCTTCAGCGGGAGGGGAAAAAAATTGACGAGATGCATTCATGTGCAAAGGAATCTCAGATTTGCTTATAGCAAAGCAATGATCCATCAGAACTGCTGCTGGCTTTGAAGGATAGAGAAACACAAATTTTTTTCTCTGTGCCTGGTGCCCTCATGTGGCTTTGATGTTCAGCTTCTTGCAGATTAATTAAATACATTGCTTAAAACCCTTTGTATGATTCACAATATAAGAACAGTGGAAGTTTAAGTGTGGAATTTTACTATAATGTAGAAGTGGAATGTTTCTAATGTTTTTCATTTTAATCAAGCAAGTGAATGCACTTAGTCAAATTAAAATATCTAATTATTTATTCACATAGAAACCAGTAAATTTCAGGATTCGTAGCACAAAACTTTTTGTTAAAAAATGAAAACAAGTTATGCCATATAGCTTCTTTACTCTCAATAAATTAGCATCATTGCAGTTGAACTTAAGAGTACAACAAAAGTGAAACATTCCAGATTATATTGGTCGGAGCACAATGTGATGAATAGAATGAGAAAATCCTTGTCAGAAATCTTACCACAAGGAAATATCAATAGCAAACATCCATATTCTCCAACTGGAAATCAAGACTATTTGAGTAGGTCTTGGCATAAAAGGCACAAAACACAAAGCAGAGCATGCTTGTGTCATTTGTCACAAAGAAGCATTGACATTTGTGCAACATGGAAAAAGATCAGCATTTTTCCAGTCCCTTCCAATATCACTTCCAACAGGGAACAGATCTTCCCGTAACGCCAGGGTATCGCTCCCAGCCCGGATGGAAGTGACTGCAAGAAAAGAGGAGTGTCTAGAAGAGAAGACTCCCGTACCTTTCCAGGAGCTCTTAGCTCGTGTGCTGAGGAAGCTGCTGCTCAGGGTTGTCAGCAGGAAATAAAGACACCACAGCCTGTTGGTGACGCGGCGACTGGCAGCGCTGGTGGGAATCAGCGCAGAGGGGAAGGATGTTACCGATGCTGGAAACCCTCCAGAGCACAGGTTTGCCATTTGCATTTCAGTGTGTGATCCCAGCTCCCTCTTGGCTTCAAACAAGCTTCTTTAAAAAACTTGGAGTCCTTGAAATAAAGGACTCTCTTCAGAAGAGAACGCTGCCTATTGCACAGAGGAATGGCTTCTCTGATTTTAAGGTGCTTCAGAAAGACAGGTCGAACATCCGAGGTATTTCCTTCTGTAATGGGCCATCATACGAGCATCTCGTTAGCAGCCCGTGTGCTATATTTCTATGACAAGCCTGTCTTCGTCATCACTGCTAGTGTCATCGTACTCAACCCTGCTTTGCTTCCTCATCATCTCTAACCCTCTCTTTTTGTACGTCTTGGCGGGTGTTGCAGAGTAAATCTCGCACTCGGGGGACCTGAGAGTGACTGGGGGCTGTGTGAAGGCAGCAGTGGCCGTTGCAGGGGGCTGTCCATGGCTCTTCTCCTGCCGGGGGGCTCCCTTCCCGTCGGTGCTTCCCTGAAGGTCGAGGGTTGGTTGGGAGAAGTTTGGCCGCTTGGTGTGTTCCATACTGGGTAACTCAGCCCCTGTGGCTGACTCTGTGTTTGAGCCAAATAAATGTGAACGTCCAGGCTGGGAGCTGGGCGTGGAGGTGTCTTTTGGAGATGGATGTGGTTTTGCTTCACCTGGAGGTTTCTCCCTTCCCAAGACCTGGGTCAGTGGCTCCAAGGTCCCAGACCTTTGACCCTCTGGCTCCACGTTCAGCGTGTTCTCCTGGCTCCCTTCTAGGTGTAGGGACTCAGTAGTCTCTGGGGCCGTGCTGCCAGGTTGGTCACCTCTGCCTGTGTTTGTAAAATCAGAAGGACAAGGCCAGGCAGGTGCCATGGAGTCCCTTGGGATGTTTGGCTGTGACCCCTCAGGGAGCGATGGCTGAAGTGTCCCCGAGCAGCAGATCCCCCTCTCGCTGCTGGCGGCGCTCACGGGGGCTGACAGGGGATGGGCTGGCACAGGGATTTCCAGAGGAGCTGTGATGTTCTGAAAAGAGAAGTTTGTTCTTGTGTCTTCCCTGATTTGCCCAGAAATGTCCTGTAGAAACTAGCCGGGGGGGAAATGATCAACTGAGTAATTAAGCATAATGTCAACCTTTATGTGTACAACTGTGATTATATTTGCACTCTTTTTTTTTTTCATTACTGTAGACTGAGTTACTCATCCCTCTTTTTATGAGAAAACTTTTTCTCCCAGTGTGTGGGGGAGGCGTAGTAAAGGATCTGTTTTTTCTGTAGATATTTTTCTGTCGGGTAGGTGACAGACCACGCTAATAACTTATGGATGACAGGGCTTGGGGGTTTCAAGCTGCGTTCGTATGTACTGTCTGGGATGATGCTCCTTTCATTAAGATATTTCACTATACGTGCTGCAGTGATGTTTGTGCAATGTAGGGGGGAAGGTTTGTGATGAATCTGTAAGAAATATTACAGTGTCTGAGGTGGTGAGATATGTGTAGGAAATAAAATTATTTAGTAAAAGACATTTTAAGGATTAGGTTCCTAAAAATGATACTGTTTATGGTACAGAAGAACCTGCCTGAGGACACGCTGAGCTGTGTCTGCCAGCACCTCCGGCGTCGATGGAAACGGGTCTGAGAGCAAGCCCGGGAAAGAGCCTGTTCAATTGATGCAAGTTTGAGTGTCCTTTTAAAAAATCTAGTTCTAACATTAGTAAGTTTTCATTATATGATAACCCCCAAGATACCCTTAACACATTTTTAAACAAAATCTGTGATACAAAGTAGTCTCAACTTGAACTTTAAAACAGCTGAATGTAATTCAAGTTTTAATTAACAGTATCTTTTTTTTCTTTTAATGAAAAAGTAATACATGAGTCAAGGTACAATACCTACCTTTTTATCTATTTTGTGCTTTTGTTTAACATGGTTTAGATTTTCAGTATGGGAAGATATTCCTGAGTTATTCTTTCCTTCTTTTTTCCTTCTGCAAGGAGGCTTGTCTGAGGTGGAACGAGATGTGGCTTGTTGCTGGTGTAGGGAATTCTCTGTTGAAAAGAAGTTGAAGAAACTGTTACTTTTATTCTCCCATAGTTTTATGCTAGAACTTTCTATCTAGAAATTTCTCTATGCTAGGAATTTCTCATCACATCACTGAGCTAACTTTTATGTTTTTACTATTTTCTGTAAATTTTTATTCTAAGCCTGGTTCATGTTCTCATTTACTTCTGTGTGTTTGGGGGTTCTTATTGGGCATTACTGTCCTGCGGAGTAATAGCCGTAGATACCTGCTGTGAGCCAAGAGAAGGTATTGTCCCTGCTTCCAAGGTGGGTGTGGCATCAACATCAATTGCATTAATACCGCTAATTACATGGGGGTGCTGGTCTGAAGCACAGAAAGCAACTCAACACACTGAACCTATTTCCCACTGCAAATACACAGTCTCATTTCAGAAACAGAAAAAGACCCATCTTAAAACTGTTTAGGCTTTTAGTGGAAGGTTATTTTGAATTATTTATTTTTAAAATGCCCTCCTAGTTGTCAAATTCACATAGGTAGTATGCATATGAAAATTGTGCAGTCAGTTCTGTAAATGCACAAGATGTTTTGACGTTCAATATATTAAAAAATATTCAAAATACTTACCCTGTACCTTTGATTGAGGAGAATGGCACTTCTTATTAACTCTGCAGGGTCGTGATAAAGAGCCCTTTCTCCAAGCATCCAGTGCTCTGTTGGGAAAGCAGTGCCATTTGCTGAGGCCATTCATCTTTAACTGAGCGTGTCCGTGTGCGAGCCTCCCTCTGTACCTGCAAAGGGTAAACAGATATGTGTGATGGACAAGTAGAATAATACCACATCATCGGGTAAATTTAGGTCTAGCAGCAATTCACTGCTGTGAAGGAGGTGTTCGTTTATGTTGACAAAAAAGAAATAATCAGGATTTTAGGCAAGAGGCCTGTACTTAGCTGAGTCCCTGTACTTATTTGATATAGCCAAATAGATAAATTCTGAGACCAGCAGGAAAAAACCAAACCAAACCAGAAAACCATCCCCAAACCAAAACAGAACAAAGTCCTAGGAGAGTGTCACTGGACTGGATAACATAGGCCTCAGTCTTCTATCTTTCTTCTTATGATCCTTCAGCACTGCGGTGCTGTTTGCCAAAGCAGACATGGTGATTGAGTCACTGACACTGATTTGTGCTCAAGGGAGTCACTCTGTCTGATTTTGGTGATGAAATAAAGAAAGAGGGATGTATGCACACAACATGTGCTTCTTGTTGAAGCGATTCGTCAGCTGTTGCGCTGCCCTGCGCTCCTGAAAGAGCCAAGGCTAAATCTTCCTCTGACAGAATTCCCATTATTTACAGAGAAAGTGCCGATTGAGACAATGTGCCCGTGATAGTTTTGTTCTCAAACTCTTCCTGCTCTTCATTTAAGCCGATCCTTTAAACTACAGGTGGCTTTGTTAGTTCGTGCTAGAATTTGATATTGATTCTTCTGCATTCTCTTGTGAATCCAAGTTCAGGATATAGATCTTCTGAGGGCATGTATCTATAGATCTATCAGAATTAAAAACTGAAGTATTTTGGTTCCCTTCTAATGGAAGTAACTGCTGACAAATTGGCAGATAAGAATCATTTCTAAAGCACAGTGGGAGGCAGCTGACCAGGGCGTAGGTCTGTTGTGCTTAGAAAAGTCTGTTCCTGATAGTGAACACCACTCTGGGAGTTTTTATAGGTTACCTTTGTGGAACTCCTGCTCTTTCTAAGGGCTCCTGCCCCTGATTTTGACAAGGTTGAATTTTGGGGATGGCTTTTCATTTTCTGTGGACTTTTTACACCCACTTTAGCAAAACCTAGGGAAGCTGAAAACCATATTCCTTACCATTTTGGGGTGACTTTAATCTTTTTCTGTTTGTGGCTCCTTTTGAGTTTATTCGTTGACAGTTTTTCCTTTTTGCAAACTACTGTTTTCTTCCTTTGCTCTGAAGTATTTCTGAAAGCACCATCAGGAGCTGCTGAGTTCAACTGTTGAGAATATTGGGAAAAAATGAAGTACATGAGAACTGTGAGTTACATTAACTGAGAGATTGAAATCTATGCTCTTTTAAAATAGCACTGAATAGCATAGTAGTTAAATAGCACAACTCTGAATTTTTCCTAGAATTTTTGTGTTAGTTTTTTCTAATCCCTTTGTCCATCTACTTTTATAAAATAAAACTGAAACAACTCTCTGCTTTTCTGGATCTATACAAAATTGGTGTATGTGCTTTCGTATTCTTCTTCCTACGTAAAAAGCAAGCTCAGTCTCCCAGAGGTGCTCTGGGGTCTGCACAGACAGACTGGTCTGTCTTCACTTACCTGAGAAAGAAAAGCTTTCAAATCTTAAACACTTTATAGGGCATTAATGCAGTTTGGGTTTGTGACATTTCAGTGTATGTAGGTGATGAGAGATGGAGTACACGGGCTGTCTTGGACTCCAAGTATCTCCAAGTACCATAAAGTCTTGATACTAATGGTCTACTTAAGTCCTACTCTAATTTAAATATTCATTAAAATGAAAACAGTGGAATATGTATGCTGCTACAGAAGAATATAAAATAGAAGGGGAAAAATCAAGAAATAGAAGTATGCTCTTCTCACTGGACAGTGCTCCTACTGAAATTCCTGAGCGAAAGAAACTTAAATATTCACACAAAAGAATGTGTCTTTCATGCATCAAATGAATATGTAACTTGTCTTATTAAAACATAAATTGTAAATTCTGTATGGACAAAGCCTGCAAATGTCCATAACTATACTTTTGATAATTCTTTTATTTTTCTAAGGGGGTGGGGAAGTGTCAGCCAATTCCACCCTCTTGAGAAAGGAAATGGCATTATTAATATTACCTCCTGTGTCTGCTGTCCTTTGGAAAAGGATGGAACCAATGTGTTTAAGCTCCTGTTCGTTAGGCCGTATGCCACCGTCCCGCTGATGTTCTTCATTTTGAAAATAGAAATATTGTCTTTGGACAGCGTGCGTTCGCTGCCGGCTGCCTCGTGGCGGGGGTGCAGGGGGGAGCGGGCAGAGTCTGCCTCCCCCGGCTGCTGGGCTGGCAGAGGGAGGCTCCTCGTTAAACAGCACCAGGTTAATTGGGGTTCGGCATTTAGTGATGGGAAGGTGCCCTTTGTGGTTGGCGCTGTTGAAGCCCCGGAGCAGCAGGTCGGGGTGCTGCGGGCTGGCGTTGGGAACGCTTTGCAGGGAGTGCTGGGCACGGGGCAGTAACGGGTGCCGAAGGGATGGGAGCAGGACGGGGGGCTGTCGGCCCCGCGCCGGGAGCGGAGCGTGTCCTGCAGCGCTGGGGAGGGGGCCGAGGGAACGCAGGGAGATCCTCCTCTGTCCCACCCCGGGACCGCTGGCTCCACAGCCCCACTGGACACCGATGTCCCTGTCAAAGAGTCACGTCCCGAGCAAGGACCATGGAGAACCTTCCTCTCCTCCTTGACATCAGCTGATACGAGGAAACCACTGGTATACACAGAAGGAAAGCCTATTTTCTTCTGGGGGGTCTGTGTAGAGGAAGCAGCTATGCTCATCCACTTCTCTTCTGCTTGCCTTTGATAATTTAATTCATTTTTGTTCCGTTTGTTTTTCCAAGCATCTCTTATAATATCCTGCTGCCTAAAGTTTTGGTTATTAAAGGTGTTATCTGCTGGGGTTAAGGGATTTGTTGTTTCTGAACAGACTGGTGAACAAACCACCGGAGTTTTCCAGCTGGCATCGGTGCTCCATTGGAGCTCTCTGCTGGTGGCCTTTTGTCTGACTTCAGGTTTTGCAGGGGACCGAGCCACGTCGTCAGGATGAGAACTGAGCACTCTGCTGGTGGCAGAGCAGGGGGGGGTGGCTGAGGTGTGTGTCACAGGTGTGCAAGGTGGAACCTTCTCTTCTGGTTGAAGCAAAAGCGACAGATCTGAGGCTCTCTTGCCTTGTGGCAATGTAAGGATATATTTTGGAGGAAAGGCATTTTGTTGTGGGATTGGAGTTAAATGACCAGATTGCAGATGATGAATTTTAGAAGACACATCAACAGCGTTGTCACCGAAAACTGGTGCCTTTGCTCCTGTTTTCACAAGACATGTTTTGACATCTGTATCTGTTGCGTTGTGCAAGGCAGAAGAATTGCAATCACTTCCCCTAAATTCAGGCCCTAAAAATCCCACAAATGAAGCTTTTGAGATACCTGCTGAATGCGAAAGAGGGTTAACATCACCGTAATTCAGAGCTTTTGTGGGGAGTTTGATTGTTTTCATGTACTCCACCTGCCCAGTACCTCCGGTGGATTCATTAATTCCTGTGCTTAATTTTTGCTCCTCTGCTTTCCCGGAGAGCATCAGGGGTGCTGTGGACACACACTGGGCGCTGCTGCAACGGACCCGCTCCGCTGCATTTCCCACCTGGCTTTCAGTGCTGGGACAAGGGCAGGACTTTGCAATAACGTTGGGTGCCTTCTCCACTTCAAATTTCAGCTTTTTTCTCTCTGATGGTAAATTCTGGGATTTCCCTGCGGCTTCTCTGGTGCTGTTGCAGTGGGTCCCCGGGGGGGTCGGGACAGGCTGGCTGGTCCCCTCGCTCCCGCTGTGGCTCCCATCAGTGTTTGAGGTGCTTTTATGCTCCGATTCAAATGCACTGGATTCCTTCCCAGGGCTTGGTTTTCCCCATTCCCTGCTCTGTGCTGGCAGGCGGTCATCGTTCCTGCCGCTAGCGTTCAGCTGGCACCGCGGATTTTTGAGCCCGAGCTCACAACTGGTGGGAGCTGGGGACACGCTGTTGTCACCTCTGCGCTTGTCTGTGTCACTGTCACCAAGCTCTGGGGAAGTCCTGCTCGTCACAGTCTGTGCTGGAGCATTTCCTGGATGGGATGTCTCCATCGCGCAGGTTAAACTGTCCGCAGTGGCCTCGGGGCACAGGTTCTGTACCGTATGGTTACTGTTAGTGCAGGTCTCTGATTTACCCAGGTTTAAACCTGTTGTCAGGAGGAAGGGGAGACTGTTACTTGCAGAGCTCCTGCCATCCCTGTGCTCGGGGATTTCAGTGCTGCTGACTGATTCCTTTGAATCAGGAGTGAAGCTTGTAATATCCGTAATCTTATTCCCCCTTTGTTTAATTTTCTTGGCACTTTGACTGCTTTTCATTTTTTGGTAGATTTTCTTAAACGTTTCATCTCCATACATTTGCCATTTTTCATGAGAGAACATCTTTAGCTTCCTTGGGTTGTGTTTCTTGTTCCTCGCAGCGGTTCTCGCTCCAGCCCCCAGCTCCTCCGGGGGCGGGGGATGCTCAGCCGCGCTGTCCACGGCTGCCTGTCGGACCAGAGCGCGGGGATGGCTGCTGGGAAAATCCAGGGAGTCTGCAGGGGGGTTGTTGCCGGGCAGCAGAGCAGCAGCATGGGGGATGTTGGGGGGCGGCCGCCCCAGGGAGGGTGTCTGGGAGCCCCCCGCTCTGTCCCGCGCCCCGCTGCCCTCCGCCACAGGCAGGGAGTTGCTCCGCGTGACGGGCACGGCGTCGATGGTTGTGGAGAACTGGGTGGGCACCGAGTGAAAAAACACGGGCTTGCATTTTTCTAGGGGCGCAAAGGTAGATTTTGCTGAACAAAGGGAAAGGTTCTTTTTCCTATTTCCATCACAGGTTCTGATGTCAAAATGGAAGGAGTCTTTGTACGTGTAAGGCATGGGCAGGTCGATGCTCCCCTGTTTAGACAGGACAGTTTTTCTGGGCCTGACGTTGTCTAACTGGGTGTCATCCACCACGCTTTTGTTGTGAGAAATAAGCTTTGAAATGTGTTCTTCCAGCCTCTTTTTCTCCAGCATGGAGGCTGTGGCTCTCTGGGCCGGCTCTGGCTTGGCGGGGCTGCGGAGGCCGGGCTGGCTCTCCGGCTCGGCACCGGGCGGGCAGAGCCCCTGCAGCGGGCCGGGGGATGCCAGCTCCACGCTGTCGGAGCGGGACAGGTACCCCGAGTCGGTGCTCTCACACTTCTTCAGCTTGCACTCAAACGCTTTGGCGTCCCACTGCTTGTCCCAGGAGGTCGCCTGCTGCCTTTGCAGCTGAATGTGCTTGTTGGTGCTCGGAGTCCTTTGCTCCCGCACCTTCTTTCTCTGGCACTGACCGTTCAGCAAAGCCCCTGGAGATGATAAACTTTCAGGTTCTCTTTCAGGAACCCCCTGATTGGCCTTTGAACTAGAGGACGGATTCGTCGTTTCTTGATTTTCTGAAGCACATGATGGATTGCCTGTTGCCGGTGGTGGAAGGTCATTGGGAAGTCTCTTAGTGTCCGCGCTGGTCTCTGAGCTCCCTTGTTCCACCTGCACCCCCTTGTCCTCGCTGGTCCCACCAAGCAGTTTGCTGCCCTGATGTGACGCGATGCTCTCCGTTGATTTCTCGTTTTGCTCGGATGCGGCGCTGCTGTCGGAGTCGGAGGGGGCTCTGGTGTTGTTGACGTGCGTTTGGGTTCTTCTGTGTTTGTACAAGTTGCTCTGAGTTTTGAAGGCGATGCCACAGGTCGTGCACGGAAAGGGCCTCTCCCCCGTGTGAGAGCGAATGTGTTTCTCAAGGACACTTGGCTTCAAACAATCTCGTCCACAGTGTTTGCAGACGTATTTCCCAGCCTTTTTTGATTTTCCCGGGCTTCCAGTAGATGCATTTACACCAGAATTTGGTGATGACAGAACCGGTAAAGTGCTGACTATGTTCAGTGTCAGAGTTTGCCCGAGCTGCTTTGGGAAGAGCGAGTGGGGCTGGTCCGTGCCTTCAGAAGGAAGGAGCGGGTTGAGGATGAGGGGGACGTTGCTGCTCTCCAGGTGGACACAGCTCCTGCCGGCAACCAGCGGGCCCCTGGGCTGCCAGCAGCCGGCCTGGAGGGGCTGGTAGAGGGGCACGGTGAGGGCTTTCAGGTAGAGGGGCTGGGATGGGGCCGGGTCCTGCCGAGGAGCCGCGCTGCCCGGGCCGGGGGCTGGCTGGAGAGAGGAGGCTGGAACCGGTCCGTCTGCCAGGGCTGCTGTGAAACCGGGCTGGTCCTGGGCCTCCATGGCCAGGGCTACCTGCCATGGGCACGGCGCTCTGTGAGGGAGGGGAACCGAAGCAGGACAGCAAAGTAAATAAACACTTTCAACTGCTGGACTGGGAAAGCTAGCAATTAGGAGTAACACAAATCTTATACACAAACAATAATTACTTCGTTTTACAATTAAATTGACTCGTCTTTCATGTCTTAGCTAGAAGTTAAAGTTCAGTACAGCATAAAGAACAGTGAACATTGCACTTAGAACGTACAATATGTACCCAAAGTATTAGAAATAAATCTGAGTATAAGATTTGCAAGTGGAGGATCTCAGCACCCCAGAAATAATACAATTTTAACTTTCTGAAACCATATTCCCATTAGATATTTGTACCGTGATTTTTAATTTAAGACTTTATACTAAATGTTAAGATAGAGCACAGAACAATGAAGGTCAGAAGGGACCTCAAGAGGTCTCCAGCACAACCCCCCAGGTTCAGCACAGGTTGCTCAGGGCCCTTTCCCCTGCGGTTTTGAAAACCTCTGGGAAGAAAAACTGCCCAGTCCCCGTGGGGAGGTGAGACCCGGCTGCGTGTCCGCGCTGCTTGCCTCAGTGAGCTCAGGGAGCGCAGGCAAAGCACGGCAACAAGCGATGCAAAGTGAAAACACATGGGCAAAATGAAACTGATCTCCTGTGTTACACGTGAAATTTACAGAAATACGTGTAAAGCAGAAAAGATGGTATCAGAGCAAAATAGTGGGATAAATTAAAGCCATCTTTTGTGTAGCCCAAATTAATTTTGTCTAATTTAAGGTGATATTACTGTATACTGCTTTCAATCCCAGATGAAAACGTTTTGTAGACACAGTTTTTGGAAAAAGTGAGTCTATTCTTATGAAATCTGTCCAGATATAGTCAGGGTGGGTGGAGGTCCAGACTACTTATTTTTAAAAAAATTTGTCTTGTCTTTTTTCTTTCTTAGAAACAGACTAGGAAACTGTCCAAATAAGCTCATTGAAAATTATTTTTGGAAGATCTGATAAAGGCATCAGCATAACCTCTTGTAATTATAGTCTGGGTGAAAATTAGAAGGCGATCAGTAGATGTTTATTCAAATCCTTATTAAAGCTGTACTCCCAACTCTGTATCCATTGGCTGTTAGGAATAATGGGCTGCTCCTGTGCAAACAGTCATAAAAACCCCATTTGAAATAACATTATCAGTGACTAAATGTGAAATCTGTAATTTGTTGCCTTACTGCATAATCTCCAGTGGTGTTTTTGTACCTTCCTTGGACTATTTTAATCCGCAATCATTACTAGGAAACAGTAAAAAAACTTACTCAAAAATACTATTTGAAATTTGGACTGGTTCCATATGAGACAGACACTACATTACCATTATTCAAAGCAGAATCTCTGTTGCATGTAGTTACTGAGAATTTTGGAATAATTGACATAAAGGAGAAAGGGGAAACTCGATGCCGTTGAGTATCCAGCAGTTACTGCTGGAGCAGGTAGTAAAGCTGGTAAGCAGATAGAGACTTGGATGGAGATCCAAGTTCTGTTTCTTGACAACTGACAGGGATAGTGTCTCGCCCACATCACATGAAAAAATGGGAAAATAACTTCCTGTGAAGGACCAAATGGATAAGAATCCTGGAGTTCCAAAGTACCAGGCTCTCTGTAATTTTGCTTATTCTGTGAAGTTTGTGGGGCCCAACATGCAGTGTGATTCTGAGAATCATTTCAGTGCTCTCTAATGTTCTTCAAAGGAAGTACCCAAATGATTCCACAACATTGAAAAGAAAGGTTTCACTAATGCTAAACAATTAAACCAAATGGTGATACGCAATCTCATCACTTTTCAGAGCACTGCTTTTCACAGCAAACAGGAGACACTTTCACTCATCTAAAAACTTGATCCTAAATTAGGTAAAGAAAAATTTCAAATAAACAAAACTAAAAGCAAGACTTGGCCTAATTCTCTAAATTTTCTAGTTTCTTAGGCTATCAAAACTGGTCATGAAAATTCCATTTAAGTACAATTATTTTGTTCCTAGCTTGAATTATACCTTCAGGTCTGTGGAACACTGAGAAGTCGAAAAGTGAAGTAGTGTCAGACAAATCAACGTAGCAGAAAACTGTCTTATTCTGTATAAAATATAAAATACATAATATATATAAAGTATTTTAATAAGGGAGAGATGTAAAAAAACCTCATTTTAAATCCAGTGTGTTCCTCTTTTCTATGTAATTTTTCCTTCATTTCAAATGCATTCTGTAAACTTTGCTTCATTTCATCAGAGCTGTTACAGTAATCTTGGATTATACAGCCAAAAGATTTTGTGTTGTGCACGGCAGGTGTAGTGCTGTGCCAGCTGCCCCGTTCCTGCCCAGTTCCTGCCCCCCGAGGCTCCTGGGGCAGGGGGGGCACCCCACACCCTGCCGGGGCCGCAGGGACCCTCTGCAGACACCGCCGAGTCGGTTTATTTTTGTAACCACACAGACACAGGTTTCCCACAGTCTGAACATACATACTGTGCTATATTGTACTAGAAGTCTTTGCCTTTTTAAACAGCTTTTGGTGATCCCTACCTTAAACATAATGCCAGAGAGCACAGAGAAGTGGAATCCTCATTAGTCTGTCAATAATTTTGGTACATACCTTTCATGGAGCCAGGCATTGCAGCCAGAGAAGCCTCATTTCTGTCTGTACTTGGTGCAAACAGAGAAAAACGAGGACAAAGACTTGAAACAGATTAGAAGTAGGAAGTTGTTTTTTCTTTTTTTTTTTACATTGGTGTCACGGTAACAACCTTCAGAAAACAGGAAGAGGTGAAACAGAAGAAAATGAAGTAGCATTTCAATCTCTTCATATCCTTTACCATTATTTGTGTAGGGACCTACAAATGGAATCGTTTCTCTCCAGACCGTGGGGCTCTGTGCACTGCCCATCGTACCACCCAGTAGAGCACAGGACTGGGATTCTTTTCTCTGTACCACTAAAGGTAATTTGCTTGTAACTTTACAGTAAAGATCTCTCTTAAAATGTGTTGGAAAAGGAAAGAATGGTGGTGAGAAGATGCTTGCTACACTTGAAATGCCAGACTCGCCCAGTGTGGACATCCCCCACGGGCTGCTGGCCCCGTGCCCGGCGGCTGTGAGGGACCCACAACGGGGGGCAAAACGGTGAAAGAATGTCCAGAGTGTTTAGGTCATGCTCAACAGCCCTCCCTAAAATCTGTGAAAAGCTGTAGGGAAAACAGGATAGGGGACAGTCAAGAGAAGTGATAAGATCAGAGTGTAGGCTCCACTTGTGGGTTGACCTCACGGAGAATCCTGGGCCAGAGCAGCCACGGAGCCCTGGGGGATTTTGGGGGACACTGTCTGAAGCATGGACGGGAACGGCTGCCTCCTCCTCTGCTGTCAGACTGGATACAGCCCAAACTGCAACTTGCAGTCCCTCTGATGGTACCCAGTCAGCATATCTGGCCTACAAAAATTCCTTAGGAGCAGTGTCTTGTGGAAGATGTCACTTTTGGTCTGTTTATAACCTTGGTGGTGAGCACCTGCCCAGTCCCGATGGCGGAGCCCGTATCTCGTAACTTGGGGAGTGGTGGAACTGTAACGTGTGATTGTGTTTGTCCAGGACCCACTTAAGGGGAAACTCTTCCTTTCAGTGGTTAGATGATAGACTAATGCTGGAGGTGCCAATGGGTTTTCATTCTGCACAGCGTTACTGCTCTTGGAGAGCTTTGCTGAGGCTTGGGCTGCTTTCCCTTTGGTCCTGGAGCCCCTGTTAGTAGGCCTCTAATTCTGGAGTTGGAGAAATATTTCTGTCTTATTCTTCTTACCTTTCTTGCCTGTCGTTTAGTTATTCAGGGGACAAAAAACCTTTTAACAGGGCCTAGTATTGTTACTTAAAATCCTTCTAGTTTGTATTATACCCTGAAATGCTCCCAGTAATCGGTAATGGCGCTGCACATGCTTAAAATCAGTGAACCTAGAAAATGACATTGTGAACTGCTTTACATGACTCACACTTCTCATCTGCAGGCTCAGTCTGGCCATATGGATACAGCTACACGCAGAACTAGTTCCAGCTCTGCTGGGAGATGCACTTCTAAATGGGTTCTCACATGTAAGTGAGATCTGGAAGATTATTGCGTGCTGCAGTCAACAAAGGAACCCTGAAAAAAGGACTCATAGTTCTATTTGAAATTAAGTTATTTTTGTTTTCTCTTTTTAACCTATCTAGTTTTGGATGACACTTCCTAAGCTGAGAAATAGAATAGAATAGAATAGAATAGAATAGAATAGAATAGAATAGAATAGAATAATTTCTGTTGGAAGGGACCTACAGCACCATCTGTTCCCACTGCCTGATCAATTCAGGGCTGACCAAAAGTTAAAGCATGTTAGTAAGGGCATTGTCCAAATGAGTCCGAAGCACTGCCAGGCTTGGGGCATTGACCACCTCTCCAGGATCTCTCTGCAAGATTATTTATATTCATTTACATTCAAAACATTTTCCTGCTCAGAGAAACCCAATGAACTTCAGTTGGCTCAACATAGAGCCAAGTACCTATTTTAACTCTGCAGAACAGTGTGCCTGTGGCAGGTTCCACAGAGCAGGGAGGACCTGGTGCTGCACGGCTCTTCACTCTCAGCTCATGGCTTCATCAGGATTTGGGGAGATGACCCCACGTACCCTGGTATGTGGTTCTGGGCTCCGAGAGTCTGCAGAAAGTGCCCCTTCCCAGGTGTCTAAAACCCTCTGTCCCTCAAAGGTACCAACAGGGTTTAGTCAAAGGTGGGATGAAGGGAAAGTAGCAATAAGCATCTTCCTGTACAAATAAGGAAATAGATTTCAAAGACCCTATCAACTACATATTTTAAAGTACTTGACAAACTTAAATGAGAAGAAAGTATCTTCTAGGATTGTTAATTATTATTTTTTCTTATGGAGACAATGATGCTGAGAGCAGCACACGATATCCTACTGGCAGCAGAAGATACAGATACTGGAATTAGCATTTCCAGTTGCTGGTCCACACTGACAGCACGAGGGGCTGGTGTTTATGAGGAACTCCCTTCGTTGACTGGACAAAACTTCTACTTAAATACTAGTATAATAAATTTATAGTGAAACACAGGGTCTGAAATATATTTTGTGCAGGGACTTTAAACACTACCTGTTTGATGGAAAGGTTTATGAGTACCCTAATTCTGGCGCTTTCTAGACCTTAATTCAGACTAGCAAAACGGAACTGATACGTTTCCTGATTAACCCAGATGTTACCGTTAATGTTGTTTTCTACTATTTCTGCCTTGCTCGTTTCTCAGTTTGAGTTTGTACCTCGAAATGTCTCATACCAGAAGTACTGACTTCACCCTTCCCGTGCTGGGAAGGGCTGCGGCTGCTCTCACAGCTTGCAGAGCACTTACAGCCTCAGCAACAGCTGAGCCCCAGCCCCTGCAGAGTTAGGGTGAAAACGTGGGATTCCCTCATCTTCCAAAACCCTTGTAATCTTTCAGTGATAACATTTCTTGCTCAGATTCTGACTTTGGAAGTCCTTGTTAAGAAGTCATTGTTCATGAAGTTTTGCCCTGCTCTGTGTGTTACCAAAGTACAAAGCAACTAGAAAAAACCCCGATCAAACTTTGAAATTCTTGTACCATTTCCTGAGGATGAGTGCTTTTGACACTGTACTTCCACAGTGGTGTAATATCAGTGAAATTGGTTTATATTTTTATTTTTGTAAACACTGTAGCAGAATACAGTATTAGAACCTTTGGAGTGAGATCCGTAACGCCTTTCCTTCATTCTAGAATAGCACCAGTTGTGTTGATCATTATTAAGTATGCAGTTTTCTATCTTTTTGATTCTCTTTTTCTTGAATATCCGTAAATGAAAACATTCTAAAGGCTTAAATCAATGAGAACATTGTTAGCTAAAATTTATTTTAGTGTGTAAGTAATCATTGTATTGGCCCTTTTGAGCTCTTCATGCAATTTGTATGAGAGAATATTTCCTATTCTACTTCTTATGCTGCTACTTTTCTCAGCTCCAGTCATAAGAAATGCTTTCTAGTTTATTATATGTCTTTATTTTAAATTTACACCACAATTTAATTTAAATTTACACCACTTATTTCTAAAAAGAAACAAGTCTCACCCATCTGTTGGTTTTATAACACTGTTGGTGGTTTCACAATGAAAAAAATAGGATTTTTAGTGCTTTAAAAAGTCTAAAAACCTTAAAGGATTTACATTCTTTTGTCCTTTCATCAAATTCACTCCCATGCATTTCCCTTGTTAGGAAAGAGTTAACAACCTCCAGCCAGCAGTCTGTAATCAACAGGTTGCTCTAACAGAGAAATAATAACCCTAATCCATCTTTTAAAGTTTAGGAGGTTGGACTAAATGATGAAAAAATACTGATTAAAGCCCTCCTAAAAACAGAAGTGGGGCCAGTACTAAAATGCTTTGTGTTTTAGGAAAAAATCTTTCTCATTGCTAACTGAAAGAACCATCACATTAAAAAAAAATATAACTTTAAAATTTCTGTCTTAATGATATCTCTGTCTATATAAAAGGATAACAAAACACTTGCTAACCTTTAGGTGGCCAATTCACAGGCAGGTGGAGAGGTTCAGGTCTCCCTGGAATAGCGTTGAGACAAAAGCAGCATCCTGTTTCCTTTTTTCAGTGTCTTTCTCTTCTCTTTTTTTTAAGCATGTGAACACTGAGGGGTGGGTGGTGGGGTGTGTGCGCAGAGGAGGGGGCGAAGGCAGCCCACGCCTGGTGGGGGAAGAGTTTTAATGGCCGATGCTGGTAATATGGTTTGCTGCTACGGTGTCTGCACTACTGCAGCTCTGTGTGTGGGCGTAAAGAAATGACACGACTGGGTTTCAAACCATTACACTGAAGATTTGCAAACAGTTAAAAAAAAAAAAAAAACCCACAGCCCCATCAGGCACAAATGAAAAATTATTACTTTTTTTCTTTTATCTTTTTCTAAGGTTTGTTTGTTGGTTTTTTGGGTTTTCTTTTTTTTTTTTCACTTAGCAGATGTAATCCAGTCAAGTTTATTCCTCAGCCTCTAAATTTAAAAAGGGAAATTAAGTATTTAGGAAGGGTTTTGATTTTACATCGTGCGAACATTTTGTTATGATTTTTGCTGCTATTTTTTAATTAACCTACAAGAGCCCATATTCCAAGAGGCACCCGGGTTTCCACAGCAAAAGTCTTCAGAGGACACTATATTTCTGCCTTTGAACATGCTACATAGGTGCCCAGATCGTGGTAGCACCGAGTAGCGAGGCAGCACAGCCACAGCTGGCACTGCCCACCAGCCGGTGGGAGACCTTAGACCATGAGTGTCCCTCAAATATTCCCCAAATCCCAGCCAGGAGAAGGGCTGTCCCACCAGCCCGTTCCTGCTCAGCGATACCCGGCTTCCCCGTCCGCAGTTGGCAGGAACCACACGGAATGTTTGCTGCAACAGTGGGGTGTAAAGGAGACCACCAGGAATGAGACAAAGGGGCTGCTCTCTATGATATCGTAGATTTAAGCTGAAATATAGTTATTGGCACAAGAGCAGGTGAAGATGAATGGTTTGGAGTCCACTGGTTTGGGAGGGACGGGTGGAAGGTTTTTGTCAGACAAGCAAGAACACTTCTCAAATGTATTTTTGACCCCAAAGAGCGAAACAGAGACAAATCGGTTTGTAGAAAGGAGCTTGAAAACTTTAAGGAACCTTTATGACTGGGCTGCTCCATGACAGTAAGGGACCAGCACTTGTTAAACACGTATCTTCACGTAGACATTCAGCTGGAATATCACGTAAAACCAGCACAGCTAGATTTGGGGACTACTAACCCCAGCCTTTAACAGAGAATCTGATAAAGGCAGTTAAACAATGAATCACGCTGCAATGAATGAAAAACAATCTTCAATTCTACATCTGTCTGGTAAATCTGTCAGAGATGCTGCTGCTAATACACTGAAGTACAGCCTGACTTGGTATTAAATGGGGTTGGCTACTGGCCACAGTCGAAGCTTAAATTCTTCTTTCGTGTATAAACTAACAGCTGAGCTCAGCTCCATGAAAATTTTGCCAGAGAACTGTCTGTGGCCTCAAGTGAGACAGAAAAGTGCATGTTTGGAAAGAAAAGAAATACAGCTGCCAGCAGGGGCACGTTCATGCAGACTGCGTGCCATTGTACCACGTGATGGAGATTGCAAACTGAAATGGCTTAAATCAATTCAGTAAAGCTGGTAATTTCCCTAGCATTGTAATTGTTTTGTGCATATTGAAGTTAAAAGACAGATTTTTCACCTTTTTATTACTTTGTCTTTCTCTAAAAGCTAAATTAATCTTTGTGTACTGTCTGCTCAATGAGGACACTTTTTGCCCAGTTAAACCTTGTGTGTTATTAATGAGTGGTATCATTTGAATCTTTTACTATAATTCATATTTGAAAAAAAATATTAATCACAATTTTCTCAACCCAGTTTGAAAAGTGTAGTAATGAACCACATAGGCTGAAGCAGTAACTCCGAGGGGTCTGTGTTGCTCTTTTTGGTCTCTGTAGGTCACAGAAGCTCATGTGCAGGGGCTGCAGCAGCCGCGTTACCAAGCCCCTGTGGCATCCCTCGTCTCTGCCATGGTATTGGCCACTTTGCTGCAGGTAAAGTAACAGCTAGAATGTCTAAATGCACCTAATCCTCCTCCAAGGAGGAGGATTCATCTCTTCCCATGAAGAATCATTACCTAGTATTGCTATCTGTTATCACAAATAGCAATATTTCTTTTATAGAGCTGAAGTCTTGAGTTTGCAAGTACAGGAGTCACAGTTACCTCCACAACTTTTGTTTGCCCAAAAGCACATTTCCACCACAGCACTTAACGTGACTTTTTTTCCCCCCGAAGATCACAACTCTGTAAATTGACAGACTCTTTCAAAGCAAGTATTAAAAATCTGGAAAAAAATTGAATATTAAAAAAAATATTCGAAGCAGGAGGAATGAAGCCATTCTAGTAAATTGGGCAGCCAACTATTAACCCTCACGTCAACACTGCACAGTGACTCCTGAGACTCAGGTGGCACTTTGGTGTGTTTTGTTGAAGGGAGGAAGTGCCACCCTGAAGAGGAGCGTAACCCTCAGGTACTGGTCAGGCCATACCAGAAAAAAAAGTCCAGGAGAAAACAAAAATGTGCTTGAACAGCAAAAGGGAGAGACACAGCTTCATTAGGAGCAAACATGGGTGTGCTTGCCAAAGAAAAGCCAGTACAAGGGAAAAAGCTAAAACACAAGGCGAAAGTAATAGATCCCTCAGGGAAAAGACCCTGGGGCCGCTGAGAAAATGCTCAGGCAATCACAAAAATGAGAAGGTTCAGCTGGTTGTGCATGCAACACTAGTGTTTCACTGAGAACTGAATTTCTTCTTTAAAGTGCTTGGGTTATTTTCACACCCCACCAGCAGTGTGTACTCACCTGCAGGGAAAACACAAAGCTAGTCTCAAAGCAGCTTCCATTAAGATCCCACAGACCTTTTTTTTCCAAATTTAGATTTAATGTGTTTTAGGTCAGGTTTTAAATGCTGAATCATCTTACAGGGTTGATTTGGCGTTTATTTGGTTTGGGGTTTAGTATTAATTCAGCACAAGCATGGGTTAATTCACAAGGGTAGTTACAACCCAAGAAAAGCCCCAGACACCCGAGAGAACAGGCAAAGGTGGGATCCAGCTTTGCTTCTGGAGCACCAGGGGACAGGGCGGTGACGAAGAGAGCCCCAGTTACCCCTCCTCACTCAAGTCATCCTTGTGCTGACACTTCAGAGGTTAAAAAGTAGAGGATGTTTGTGATGCCTCTTCTACAAAATAGATGTTTTGCAGGAGGAATATGAAGGGTCTTTCCAGTTCTTTTAGGTTGCGGGAGTAATAAGCTATGGTATTTTCAGGCATATCACGTCATAAATATGAGTAATTACAATTATGATGCATTTAAAATTGATGTAGCTTTCAGAGGAACAGTTGCTCCAACTCCAGAAGCCAGCAAGGTTAGCTGCGTTTCACACAGGCACAAGTACAGACATACTCCTGCCATCTGTTTCTTGTTTGTCATCGAAAAACATAACTTCAGAACTTCTGACAGTCATCAGAAATGCTCTAAAAGCCACCAGCTACACTAATATAAATGTATTTTGCAGAAAATGAGACTAGAATTTGACAGGGTCATTGATCATTTGAACCACCTTTCAGATCCGTGTCAGAGCCAGCAGAAGGAAGCAGCGCTGACTGAGCCCGGGGCACAGCGTGTCCCCGCAGCCCGGAGCAGCCCCCGTCACGCAGGTAAATCCCTGTCCCAACCCTTCAGCCAAACTATATATATTTTTTTTTTTTTTCATTTTCTCCATAATCTTTTATGTAGTTGTGGTTTTTCTCAACATGTTGTCAAGGAAACCCTACATTCTGGTAGCTCAGTATCCAGCTCTTTATTGCTACAGACAAACAATTTAGGATTTTGAATGCATTGATACACTTCCCTTCCTGCTACGAAGGGATGCTCCCAATGCCATGGGCTGGGTAGAGTTGAACAAAGACCTTCTTTTGAAGATTCAGTTCTTCCAAAATACCTATGGGAAATTTGCCAATTAACTCTTCTATTTATCAATTTAATAAAATTATTGTACATATCAATATTCAGTATCATATCAATACATGTCAATTGTGCTGTACGCTGTCCACTGGAAGACAGCCCTGTAATCTTACTGGTGTCTTATTCACCTCTATCTCTCATCCTCTCATCTTACTGTCCTTCAACAATGTCGAGTTCCTCAGACAAAAGTATTTCTGGCTTGTGTGAGAGCAGCCAGTTAAACCTGGAGTGCTAATAACTAAGTTAAAGTTGTGTACACTCCTTGTATCCCTTTTGTGTCATAATCTTACCTAATATTTACACGGCTTTTCACTGGGAAAAGAGGTACGATATGTATGGATAGTGTGTGTGTGTGTATACGCAGAGAATTTCTGTGGCACTCAGGGAACGCCTGCTCTTGGACAGCTGGGTGTGGGACAGCAGGGTCCCCTCTGCCCATGGCCACCTCTCTGGAGGACACTCAGTGGAACACACAGGACATCTCGTGCTATGGGGTAACTGAACAGAGATGGTCCTGTGGAGAGAGTTCCTGCTGCTTCCTGGCAGTGACGTGTCTCATGGCGCTGGACGTTTCAGCGCTGTGTCAGGGTAAAAGGTGTTTCTGTCGTTCTCCCCTCTGGGGTTCACGGAGCTGTGCTTTTATCTGTTGTCAAGGAAACACCAGGGCTTTTTCCCCCTTGCTCATTAATGTCTGCATTTTTGTTTCCATAGCTACAAAGGAACCTTAGTGTTTTAAAATAGCTGTAATTGGATTACCATGACTTTTTGTAATTTATTGACACCATTAATGGCTCTGATTTTCAAAACCAGACACCAAAACTGCATCAGCAGTTTTTCAGCTATTAACATTTGTTATCTCCTTGTCCTGAAATCCCGGGTACAGGGTAAGAAGTGTCTTCAGCCCCCAGACCCTGGCTGCACCCAGGCTCAGACTGCACGGGGAGTCTCACCCAGGTCACCGAGTCCTCAGGGAGAAGAGGCAATCTTCTGTTTAATTGTAGGGGTTATTTAAATGTGAGGTTCTGTCCATGCTAATAAGTTACATGCGGAACGGTGGAGATTTAGCCTGTTTGTTCTTCTGTTCCAAGTTGCTAAAGATTCCTTAAATAACCACACTGAGATGTGACTGTTAACTTTTAACTGGCAGTTTCCCTCACCGTGTCCGTACTGAATTTGGCACAGGCTGAATTTCCAAACACCTGCCCCAAAATGCCTTCAGCTTGGCACAAAATATGAGCTGAAATTACTGAAAATAAAAGTCTGGGTTTTAGTTAAATTAGTTTTAATTTCTGATGGGCACCTGCAAAGGTTCCATTGTGAGTTTGCTGGGTGTTAACCCCACCTTCTAACACATCACTGATCCTTTGTGAATTTGACCCCAGAAGAATAATCTGGAAGGGTTTTTCCAGGCAAATAGCTGGCATGCTGGATACAGGGACGTGGGAAAGCACAAAGAATTGAGAGCAGGAGCGTTGCTGAGAGCTGGTATCACTTAGCAGGGGAATAACTCACTTCTGAAGGCAAAACCTGAAACTCCCAGACGGGCTGATGTGCGTGTCTGTCTGTCTGTGCACACTCCTGCCATGCCAAAATTGTTACCATGCCGCCTCCAACACTTCTGATTTATTTGTTACAGGTGACTTGCCTATTTGAAGTGGCTACAAAAGACCATAATTGCATATTCTGTACCCATCCCTTCCTTTCTGGTCTCTCTGGCCAAGCAGCAGCTGAATTCACCCCATGGACTTCCTGCCCCTGGTGTCACCCCCTGGGGCTTCTGCACTCTCTGCTGAGCCCCCCTCCCACAATTAACCAACAGTGTAAGAAGTTGTATGAGGAGGACAGGCAGAATGACTACATACCACCTACTGCTTCAGAAAAACAAGCCAAAGAGAGTCACCAGCTTAACCAGTTTACAGTGTGGGGATAAGAATAAGGTGACAAGTGGCTGGACACAGATAAGTATAAAAAAGGAACCCCTTTAGTCTAAAATATGAGTTCCTACTTTTCATGCTGGATTTCTGTGCATCCTTGAGGCTCAGACATTCCATTACCATAGAAACGGGATCCTGTGCCATCGTGGACCTTCCTGTAGATGGGTGCTGTTATGGAAACAGACGTCTTCACAGCTGGCCGCACGTTGTGTATTTCAGTCACTGTGTTTGGAGAGAGCCATTACTAAGCTACCCTTTCAGGATTCATTTTAATCAAAACTAAGTTTCTTAAGTATTTAGCAATTTAATAAACACCTCAAGGCTGCTCAAAATTAAAAATACAGCATTAGAACAATACATATATTAAAACTAGTTCAATAATTACCTACCTTTCCAAATCTCCAGCATCTGCAGAGTTTGGGGAAAGAGCTGATCTGTCCACCCCAAAATTCATCAGTAAAACTGCTTCAGGAAAGGAAGTTTGTAAGCCATGTGTGAGGGCTCCTCTGCACACACATCCTGTGTGCATGCGTGCGCGGAAAGGAAAGGAAAAACATCAGAAAGTTCAATGAGAAAATGTGGCTTAGTTGGCTGAACTGGGAGCTGTGAATTCTAAATTCCAATGCCAGGTGAACCATTCTTTGGCTCAGCTCCCACTAACCCTTTCCTGGGAGCTGAGTCTGGAGCTGATTCTAGAGCTTTGAGAGAATCTCTGTGACATTTCCATGTCTGTGGCACCTGAGACGCTTACTGCTGCTCACTCACTACAGTTCTGGACAGTGTACGTGGGCTTAAATCTGGGGTCTACCTGTTCTCTGGTCCACAAAACTGAATGGAAATGATTTGATGGCTTGCCTTGACCGTAGCTCTGTGTCAGCCTCTGACAGATGCAAGCTAGGGGGATCTCAGGACTGTTTGGTTTATAATTGATCTGATAATTGTCTCTGTGCTGTTGCGGGTGTCAGCACTGATGAGCAAGTAGCCACTTCCATGCAGTACTTTGTGAAGAATTCTCAACTTCTATTTCCAGGTTGCAGTTTCTTTAACCCATGTCAGAAGACAGCTGATCGAGTACCAGATTTCTGAAAGAAAGAGCTTTATATAGATTTGGATCCAGGACCATGGTTTGAAGACCATGAGTGAATGTAAGTGATTTAAGTGATTTGAGTGAATGTGTGATTTAAGACATAATATGTCACGACCACAACCTGTCAGGGCTGGTTCCTCAAGGTTTTATGAGAGAAGGTTGCATTCAACAAATGTTTGACAGTGTGGTGTGTTTTTGTAAGAGATGATGTCATCTTCAGAATTAACCAAGGATCAGATGAAGGGGAGACCTACATGAGTATTTCCAAACAACACAAGATTATCAGCGATTTCAAAGTACTTTAAAATATGTGATTTTGTCTTTAATTGTGCTGTTACTGTGCTTGCTCATGAGTTGTGGGTGATAACATGTGATTATCATCTGCCTACTTGATCACATGCACATTTGTGATGCTTGCAAGAAAAAACATGATCTGGCTGGTAGCTGTCACATCCCGCAGAGCTGAGGAGACTGTTTCCCAGACAACAGAACGGTCCTGTAGCATCCCTGAACCCTGCTCCCTCCTGCATCTGCCCTTCAGTCCAGCGCCCGCCGCGGCTGCTGCTCCCCCTGGGACACGGGCAGGTGGAGCTGTTTGTGGAGCTGTTTGTGGAGCTGTTTGTGGAGCCATGAACGAGCTCCCCAAACCGTGGGAGCCAAGGAAATTGTACAAGAAATGAAAAAAGAGAGTCCAAATTAATGGTTCTGATGAGTCACACAGCACATACCTCGTTACAAATTTTGAGTCAGTGTTTAAATCGAAGCGAAGTCATTCTCTGGCCAAAGCTGTCGAAGGGCCACGTGGTACATTTGGGACCCCACTGCACAAGGTGACACGGCGTGTCCTGTCCCACAGCCTCCAGTGTGTGGAACAGACCCCCACGGAGGGCGGGTGGGAGCCCTGACCCGCTGCTGCTGCTGGGACGGGGAGGTGACCACCGGGGTCTCATCCTGTGGTTATTGTTTACATTCTGTACGTTTGCAGCTGGCAAGGAAAATAATTATTTGCATTGGGATGAGAGGACCCCGTTAGCGCGGGGTCGGAGGGGTGTTTCACAGCGGCAGCCCGCGCGGCGCAGGCTCGATAAGGAGGGTATTTGGCCAGTTTTGCACATGAGGCAACAGCGCTGTGAGGTTGTGCAGCTTTAAGCCTCTTGGGACATTTTATGGCAGAAGAATAAAATAAAAGGAATCTGAAGATCAAATATTTGTTCCGGGGCTAGTGCCAGATCATTCTATTAAATGCACATTTTTAAGGTACCCCAGCTTAAACTAAATGTTCTGAAGCAAATATAATGATGGGGTTTGAACATTTTATTTTTTTGGGGGGTGTGAGTTGGGGGGCACAGGGGGACGATGTTGGTGGGGTTTGGGGTTTTGTTTCAAGGTGTGGAGGTTATCTGGGGAAGGAAGAGACATTAAATGCTAAAAACTCAATCTCTCCTTGATGCTTTTAGGCTCAGTCGGCTACAAAGAAGAGAGCTCTGGCAGCGGTGGGGCGGTGCCGTCGCTCAGCGCTTGGTTCCCGTCAGATGGACACAGGTTTCTGATCACAAATTTTTCATATTTTACTTGTGAAGAATGTCTTCTGTGGGAGTGGAACAGGAAAGGAATTTGCTTTCTGAGCCCGTGACATTCACACAGAACGTCCTGAGAATTTCAAAGGGGTCTCTCTGGGGTGGGTTGTTCTCTGCGGTGGGATGGGGTGGGGGGTCAGGGTGGGATCTGATGGATGATTTATACGTCGCTTTCACGTGTAGTTTCTGGCTGCGGCTCTGCCTTTCAGAGCTTTTCTTCCATGGCAAGAAGAAGAGGCCATTCTCTCTTCAACCAAAGGCTACTTTAAAATGGTTTGAAATAGGTGTTGCCTTCTGTGAAGGGCTTATGTACTTATGTTCTGTGAGTGCTGTCCTGGGTGTTCTCACTGCTCCCCTGCAGTGTCATCGAATCCTGCACCATGTACATTGAATGCAGGTGTCCACAGCAGTGTGCTGTAGCAGAAGCTGGCACTCTGCATTTTTCTCAGGTTTCTCTGTCTTGAAATTGGAGCCTGCCTTTACCTGAGCCATCGTATGTGTGTCATTGAAGTCAGGTCACTGAGAGCTGTGTGTGTTGTGGTGACGTACTGCATACGTGGGGACAGGCATCTTCAAAGGAAGGAAAAGTGACTTCATCCTAGATGTGGAGTTCTGGAAACTAAAGTCTAAAAGGCTGTTCATGAGTATGTGGGGTGTCACCTACAGAGAGTGGAATTTGTGGACAGCACCTGAAATGCACCATACTGCCCTGCTGGGGAGTGGTGGTTATTTTAGCTTGAGACACTCCTTTGGTGCAGGAATCAGCTGCTTATGAATAGAAAAAAATGCCAGTGTTTCTTTAAAAACAGTTATCAAACAGTGTGTTTGAGTTGACTACTTTGGAAATACTGTTTATAAAGCATCACCTTGGTAGCACCAGCTCTTTGTTTGGGTAGAGAAGATTCAGGTATTTGTCAAATGAACGGGCAAAACGGCTTTGCCTGTTCCTCAGCAGCGGTGAGGTCAGCCTCGTGCTGAACGGCTGAATGTGATTTTAGCTTTGGGACTACAAGGAACAAAGCCGAAAAGATCATACAACAGAGAGAAAACATCTGTGCTTTTCAGCTGTGGTTACAAACCTGATCAATAAGATGCTCTGAATGCTTTTAGTGTGGATGGTGTGAGACCATTGACACCAACTCACTGAAATAATTTCAACTTTCTGCCTCATTAGAGATTCAAACGGCTTTTTGCAGTTCTGCTCTTACGTTATTGAAAAGTTCCCTCTCCCTGGTACCTGCCTACTCACCACGTGCACTTTTAAAGCTACATTTTTAAAACTGTTTGTTAAAAATTACCCATTTACTTTTATGAATGTCTTATATATTTGTCATAGTGGGTTCTCGTCACTTAAATTTGCAGGAAAAAATATTTGTGAGTTCATTAAGTGTAATTTTTGCCCCTTCTGGTGTGGTGATGCACAGTTAGTTCCTGGCACGGACAGGACCTCCCATGGTCGGTGTGTGCAGCTCCTCGAGGGGGCCCCAGGGCCCTTTCTGTGGGGCGGGGGCAAAACAGCCAATATTGGGACGGTGAGGAGCCCCCGGGGAGACCCACAGCCTCGGGGGAGATGTGTCTGCTCGGCTGCCACCCCCAGAGGGTTCACTGACTCTCAGCAAAACCAGAGCACAATCACTGGAATTGTCCAGCGTTGAAGGAATTTATATAAACCTGGCAAAGAATCTCATGTATTATTGGGCTGCTTTATTGAGTGAGTGGGAACACCTCCTTCCCACAAACACATCTCAGATGGCCTCCAAAAGATCATGTGTTATTGTAGAGCTTAGAAATGATTTTGGGAGCCAGACTGTTTTAAATGTGTCTGAGAAGGAAATGAGCATAATTTTGAAACAGGAAATAGGTTTGCAATAGTATCATTAAGAAATTACATCCCTTTTTTTTTACAGCTCCCTGTGTCATCGTGCCAGGGAGCAGCAGTGCTTTTTGACTGGGGCCTTTGTACAGCCCTGGTACACCCACACATGGAGGTGAAAGATGGAAGCAGTACAAAAATCATATATATTAAGAAACTCTAGGAAGAACTCTTTTAATGCCATCGGTATTGGAAAACAAATTCTGAACCTGTATATAGATCTGTGGAAAAGAGTTAGTACTTCACTGGTTTTAGTCCCAGGAAGGAAGAAGTTTATCTCCCCCTTTTTATGATAAAGGAACTAGAATATGGAAGCTGAGAATGAGTAATTTTCATTACACACTCTGTCATCTTTGTCCCCCAGAAAGAAAAGAAGAGCTGAGACGAACGTGTGAGCTGTGGTTTGCACTCACGTTTCACTGCGGCGATAACACGTGGGCAGAACTGAACTGCCCTGTCCTCGGTCTGACGCTGCCCCGTGAGCAACTGACTCCTCTGCCCTGTATTTCCATTCCACGTGGTTACACGTGATGTAAAATCCTGCCATAAAAAAAGGGGTCTGGAAACTGTCTGGGCAGGCAACCAGATGTTCTCAATGGCCAGAGTCTCATGGGGTTCCTGCTGCCTGAGTTTCCCTTGCCCCTGGGGGGAAGGCAAACGTTGAAGGTGAGCAGAGAGATGCAGCAGGGTATCTCTGTTCCCTCTTGCAGTTTCCACACAGAAGCATCAATAGATTCAACCTGTATCTGAAGAAGAACGTACACACCTGTGACGCTCCTCTGAGAGGTGACACGTTTCCTGCTATTTCGTCTCTTCTTGTGGTGTGACCAGGATTAGTCTCAGGATAGAAAAGTATAATCTGTAAAAATTTTTATTTGCATTTCATGTGCAATTTGACAACCATTTTCACCAGAACACGGGGGATTAGGGGAGAGGATTCATTGGCTATTTCTAGAATCTGATTTTTCTTCACATTGAGGGAGGAAGAGCCCTCAGAACTAACAGGGAGCTTTGCTTCCCAGCAGAGGGGTTTTAAGGACCTACAGGAAAATGCAGCCACCAACAGCCTCATCCACTGCTGACTGTGGCTGGTGAAAGGGTGTCTATGGATGGGGTAGTCATTGAACATTGTATAACAGAAGTCATTGAAGAGGTATGTCTGGGAAAGAAAACATCAACAATGTCAGTTTTCTGCCAGACTGACAAAGGGAGTGGGAACTTGTTTTTCCAGCTCAAGAAAAGAGCAAGACCTTCGAATGGTTTTCATTAACACTGCGTGTGAATACCAATACTTCAAACACATCAAAACTTTTCATTTCAGATCAGGGAACTGGTGCGGTGTTATTGGAGCCTATTTCAGAGTATGATGGGGAAAAAACCACTACCAAATGCGTTTTCTTGGGGGCAGGGGGGGAGCAGCCTGGCCTCAACGCGGTGTGAAGGCTGTGGGTGGTGAGGGGGAGGTGTGGGGTCAGAGACCAGAGCTCATCTCCTGCTGCTGTGGGGAACCCCGGCCGCTCAGGACGGGACTGCCCCACTTGGCGTCACTTGTGGGTCACCTGCAGCCTGAGCACAGGGACCCACCACCAACACCCCCCTCTGACTCGCACCCACTTCGGGCAGGGCAGCTCCAAGGGCTGCCCTTGTCCCCGGGCCCTTTTCAGCTTAGAATTCCATGAGGTTTTGCACAGCGGAGGGTCTGGGGGAGGTCGGGATCCGGGCTGTGAACCAGGATGGTGTTTGCTTTTCCAGGTGTGACACACACCCCTGGGCTCTGTTACAGGGGGCTGCACCCAGCGCTGAGCCCGAGGGGGTTTGACGAGCTGCGTTTCGGCAGCCGTTACTGCGCCTGAGACATGGACCTAATGACAGAGATAAAGTGACTCTGGGTTGTGAGCCATTTCCTTGACATTTGAGCTTCTCCATCAAAATGACGGATATTTTATGAGGCTGCTTAAAGGGGACAGCACACACCTTCCCGCTGGCAGACGCCTCTCTGGAAATACAGAACCACCTTGTTCTGCAAGAAAATTCAGGGGGGCCCAAGAGCGGCTCCACGTCCGTCCCAGTCACACCGAGGAGGCTGCTCTGCCGGCCTCAGGTGAAGCACAGACTCACAGCCCGTTCCATCCCCCCGGGGCATTTAGCGGAGCCGCACACAAACGGCCCCGCAAAGCGCCGTGTGAACCCAGGAATCTCAGCAGGGGCTTCCACACCTTTGTATTCTCTTGTAGATTCCATTATAGTCCTTATGGTCCTTAGCACCATCTTGGTGGTGCCTGGATCTGGACAGACTTAACTGAAAGAACGTTTTCTTTGATTTCATTTATTAGACAGATACTGTCAACATAGAGGGGAAAAGATAGTGGATTTTATAGTATTAAATTCTTGGTCATGAAAATGGAGACAATATTCTCAAGATGCAACGTCACCAACGTAAAGAATTCTGAAGTTTAGGATGTGCAACTATTTCCTCTGCAGTTACAAATCAGCATTTTATTTTCCTGAAGTCTGGTTCTATTGTTTATAATTTTATTATTCCTTTAAAGTGAGGCAGTTCAGCCCTTGATTTCACTCAAATACGGAAACTTGCTTGAACAAAACTCCCGTTAAAATGAAGTGAAGTTTGTGTGAGCAAGAACTGCTGGGATGGATGGAGCTCCTGATCTGCACCAGATGTTGGCAGCCGCCCGTCTCGGGATGGGATCCCGCTTCGCTTCCAGTAGTTCACAGTTTTAGGGAGAGGTGCCGAGAGGCCGCGGAGCCCCACGGGCAGGGGACGGGCACCGGCTCCACGGGCAGGGTCTGTCCGGGGGTCACCGTCCCCCGCGAGGGGTCACCCCCGGGGCTCACATTGTGAGGCTTCGCGGGACTCCCCGCTGCAGCAGCGGGTGCGGAGCCGCCGGGCAGCCCCCCCGCAACCGCCGCGGGCCGTGATGGATCGTCGGGCTGTCAGCAGCCGTTAGGAACGGTCCCAGGACGGGGGAAGAGTCGGGAGAAGGAAGATCAAGACGGGTCTCTCCAGCTGCGATTTATTGCCCTTTAAGTATTTGCTACCGACCGACTCCGGGGGCTCATCCCTGAACCGCGGCTCCTCCGCGACCGGGGGCGTTTGGGGCGGGGTATGAGCGGGCTCGGGGCCGGGCACTGACCGGGGTCCCCGCAGAGTCCCGGGGCTCCGGCTCCCGCAGCCTCCGCTGCCAGGTGACCCCTTTCCGGGACATTCCACTCCCGAGCCCTGCCCGGGGGCCGTTACCGGCGGGTCCGGGGTCGGAGCAGCCCCTCGCCCGGGGAGCGGGCTCCGGGAGCGCCGCCCGGCCCGACACCCCGGGTTCTGCGGGGCTCGGGGCGCGTCCGGCGCCGGGCTCCCGGGACAGGGACCGCTCGGGGCCGCCACCGGGGCCGGGTTCGCTGCTGCGGCCGCTCCCTCCGCTCCGTTACCCGGAGAAGCACCGCGGCCCCGGAGGGGCGACTCAGGGCGGCGCCGGGGCCGCTCCCTGGCACCACC